AGTGAGTTCAAGGCCAACCTGGACATAGCAAAATTCTGCCTAAAAATTTAAAAAATAAAAATAAAAAGGAGAGAATAGGAGAACCTCAGCAAAGATAGAGGTTGGAGAAATATATTTGGAGTGCAGCAAAGGCAAAAGCAGATGTGTAGTTGGATTAGGGAAAGATTTCCAAAACTGGCCAAGTGCTTGGGAATTCTTCCAATAACAAGGTCTCTACTGGCTCCTTGAGGGGACTTGGCAGGTGACAGGACATCAGAGAAAGAGAGTGATAATACATGGAGGAAATCTGGACTGTCAGTGTGAGAGTGTGGAGGCTGTCAGCTCTGCAGCAGGTGTCTCACACAGGGATCAATGTGAACTTTTAACAAGGTTACAATAAGGTTCTATTAGTGAAGCTATTACAAGAAATTGGCCATAGCCAGCTGTGGTGACACACTTTTGTAATACCAGCACTCGGGAGGTTGAGGCAGGAGGATCACCCTGAGTTCAAAGGTAGTCTGGGCTGTATGGTGAGCTCAAGGCCAGCCTGGACTACACTGCGAGACTCTGTCTCAAGAAATAGAAGAAAAAAACAAACAGGTGGGTGGTCCTTAAACTGTCAATTATGCAAAACCCTTGAGTAGGAGAGGAATAGCTCTAAACAATAGGACTGAGTTTGTAAGCATCATGGTAAGTGGAATTAGCAGCATACTAAAGGTGTTTGAGTTATTACTTAAGATTTTAAAAACAACTTCAAAGAGGTAAATTGCAACAGTAGTACAATTGGGCCAGCCAGATAGTTCAGCGGACTTAAGTGCCTGCTTAGGCAGATCACAGGGACCGGGGTTTGATCCCTGGCATGCCTTTCTGGCCCTGTCCCCAGGGAGCACTGAGATTAGGCATAGTGGCACCCGCCTGTAATCCCAGTGCTTAGGAGGCTGAAAACAGGAGGATCACTGTAAGTGCGATCTGTGTAGTGAGACCCTGTAGACTGTGTGCTAAATACATTAAAATAAAGTTAAAAATTAAAATTAAAAAACCAATAATATAATAGGGCCAGGAAGATAGCTTGGCAGATAAGCACTTGCCTGGCTAGTGCAAGGGCCTGAGTTTAATCCTTGGTACTGCAAAAAGCAACAACAGCAAAATAAACTTTCATTTACATTTTATTTGGATTTACCAGTCATTAATATTTTTCAACATTTTATTTCTTCCATATATATGTGTTTTATATATACTTTTTGATTTTTGTTTTTTTGAGACAGGGTCCTGCTGTAGTTGAGGCAATCCTTGAACTCACTATATAGCACACACTGACTTCAAACTCACAACAACCCTCTTGCCTTTGCCTCTTGAGTGCTGGGATTTTAGCCTATTCCACCACACCCAGCTTCTCCCATATATTTTTATTGTTGTTCCTAGTATTCAGTCATTTCAGACATCATGATACTTACCTACAAATAGTTCTGTGTGTATCTTCTAAGAATAGGAACATATCACCCGTAGCACCAGAATAATTGTCAAATTCAAGAACTTTAACATTCCCATAGAACTATTACCTAGAGCTGGGTTGGTGGCCCATAACTATAGTACTAGCTATCCAGAAGGCCAGGCAGGAGGCTCACTTGAGTCTAATAATATAAGCCCTCTGTGGGCAATATGACAAGATAAGCTGTCTCAAAAATAGAAAACAAAACATCAAAAACTATGTTATTTAACCTTGCTATTATTTTAGAATTATTACCTTAATGTCAGGCCAGGGAGATGGCTCAGTGGAATAAGTGCTTCCCTGGCAAGCATAAGGGCCTCAGTTCAATCCCTGGTTCC